TGAGGAAGTTAGCCACAGCTTTAGCAGAAAAACAGCTGGGAAAGCTTCTCCAGAGAGGACGTCCTCCTCCACCATGACAATGTTCCTGCTCATTCTTCTCATTAAACAAGGGCAACACTGTGAGAGTTTCCATGGGAAATCATTAGGCCTCCACCTTACAGTCCTGATTTGGCTCCTTCTGACTACTTTTTCTTCCCCTAAAGTTTCTCGAAACATCCGTAAAGGCCACCCATTTTTCTTCAATTAATAATACAAAAGAGACTGCATTGACATGATTAAATTCCCAGGACTTTAAGTTCTTTAGGAATGGACTAAATGGCTGGTATTGTCGCTTACAGAAGTATCATGAACTTGATGGAGCTTCTGTTGATAAATAAAGTTTCTATTTTGTATGTTTTAGTTCCATATTTCCATGAAATTTTTGAAGTCCCCTCATGCCAAGAAAAACTTTGCTAATAAACTGCTGTCAATGACACAGTTAGAATGGAGTAGTCAAAAGTAATATATAAAAAGGGAGCAGAGTCCAATGAGGCAGTAAAGCTGCTGCAATCTAAGCAGTGGGTGCAGAAGTTCAATTGGTGCAAATCAGGCAATTAAAAGTTGTGCAAAAGGTAAAGTATTGCGAGAGGGGCCAGGTATGAGGTGATCTTGAGAATTCCATTACTGTAAGAAGGGGCTTAGCTTGTTCACTCGCAGTTTGAGTAGAATCATCACAGAAGCAGTACCCAATCCTGTGCCTGACCTAGAATCTCTGACCTGTGTCCTGAGTTGAGGCAGAGTGTGTCACCTTGGGGGGGGTGAGTGTCAAAACACACAGAGATTATGGCAAATAAACCAAACCCATGGCCTCAGTAATCCCTGTCAAACTGAGGAATAAGTTTCTGATTATGGTGATATTGTTAAGATATTTGAAATATTTAACAGGACCTAATATATTAGATGATCTGATACTTTGAATTTAATTTGAAATGCTTAAAGGAATTTGAAATTGGATCCATGATTTTAATTTAAAAATGTCTAAGAAAATTTAATTAAGCTTGTAAACAATGATTGGTTAAAAGATTTTAATTTATTAAACTTAAGAATTTAGACTTAGGTTTGTTGGTATTTGAATGCTTAGGAAGATTTCATCAGATTTTAGGTCTTTCTTAATTGCTATTGAAAGTGTGCAAATCAAACAGATTAAATAGGTGACTGAGTTTGAAATGTCTAAGGAAACTAGGTTAAGTGTGCAAGCAATGTTTTTGGTTTAACTCATTAAGTTTTCAATTAATTGAATATCAATCAAGGATTAAGCAAAAGTGTTCATATTTATACACAAAATCAACTAGTTTGTAGCTATAACAAGATTTGTAAATTGATCTTAAAGACACAAGACAAATTAGATTTTTAAGGTACAGCTTTAATAACTAAGGTATTATTTAAAACACCAGTAACTAAGCAACCCTTTCAGTGCATAAAAGCCCTGCTCAGACGTTAACACCCAATGGACAGTGTCTGTTCATGGCAGTTCAAGCCCAGAAACTCACTCACAGCACGTGCCTTGAGACACACAAGGAACTTGTTACACACTGGAAGGTATTAAATAGTTCATTCACCACCTCTCCTTGCTGACGGGGACGGGGATGGGGAGTATAGCAATGAGGTGAGGGGCTGTGCCCCTGAGCTGGGAGCAAAGATGGAAGAGTGGCTGGAGTGCCCTGCTGGCAGATGAAAGACAACTGCATCCCAGCCCAGCAGTTACATCCAAAGACCACTGGCTCTGGTGATCAGAAAAGAGTCGGTGGTGGGCAGACGAAGCTCCTGCTAACCTGGGAGTGACATCCAAATGGGACTCTGCTAGGCTCCTCCTGCACATTACATTTTAAAATGAACTTTTAAATTTACATACAGTAAAATGAACTTTTTGGCGTACAGTTTTGACAAAGGCACCAAGTCATATAACCATTACCACGTTTAGGACACAGAACAATTCCATCAACCCCCCACGGCGCCCCGGAATCAGCTCATACTAATCCTTGTAGTCATCCTTGACCCCTGGCAACCATGGGTCTGTTCTCCATCTCTGCAGTTTTGCTTTTTCCAGAATGTCACATAAATGGAATCACTCGGTATGTAGCCTTTGGCTCTGGCTTCTTTACTTAGCACAATGCATTTGAGACGCACATTATTTTAATACCATGCAGAATAATATTCTGAAAAGGCTGCTCATCTATTCCACCACTCAGGCCCCCTGGCCAGAGCTATTTTAGAATATTGGCTGGCCCTCAGCATGCTTACTTTTGAAGGCTTTCCCATGGCATTTCAAACACATTAAAAGGCAACCATTTTTCATATTTAAGATAACTTTTTTCCCGTAATTTTTTGAAAGACTCCTTAGAATTTGCTTTTGAAACTATTTATTTTATGATTGTGACTCTTCACTAATTATATTTTTAAAAGCAAATATTGAATTTAACAACTAATGAAGTTCACATGATTATACATCTTAAGACATTTAATTCCACTTGTTAATTTTTATTTTCAACTTACTATGTTAGAGACAATTTTTTTTTTCCAGGTCTCATAAACATTTCCATAGTCCCCTGGAAAGCTCACATACCACGGGCACCATGTCCCAGTGCTTGATAGAGCCCCATAAGAATCCCGTGACTAAAATCATCGTGGTTCCAGCCTGCACCACTGAGGGAAGGCACAGAAGAACGCCCTCTCTAAAAACATCATATGGCATAGTAATTCTTTTTTAAGATTTTATCCCACATGTATACTGTCGAAAAATGTATGTGCAAGTTTATTCATTGTAGTAATACTGAAAAACTAGAAACAACCCAAAGTCTATCACCAATAGATTGCTTCGACTGTGGTACATCACACAGTGGAATACCATGCAGCCATGAAAAGGGGTGTGGCAGATCTACACATGCTAACACGATACTTTTCACAACTAAGTGAAAACACAAGTTGCTGAAAAGAATGTATAGTTTGATTATATTTCTGTAAAAATGACGGTTATTATAATTTTAAAATGTTAGTAAATGCACAGGAAAAAAATGGGAGGATGTACAGCAAATTTAAGAGTAGTTACTTCCAAGGGAGGAAAAAGCTTTTGTGTGAGTGTGTTTTATGTGTGGTTGTTGGGGGCGGGAGGGCTTTCATTATCTGCTTTTCTGTAACATTTGAATTTTTTACCATGAGCATATATAACTTTGGTAATCAGAAAAATGCAATAAATATTAAACAACCAAAACACAAATAGACTATTGGAAATTGTGAACTGATGTTTTGAATCTCCAAGTACATTGGGGATGAGCTCAAGATGGTTCTTGGGTTAGCCAGCCAACTTGTGCCTTTCTCAAAGTCAAAACAACCTAAGCAAAAACGCCTCCTTCCCCTTCTTTCTACAGCCAAACATTAGCCCACCAAACTATAATCATCCACAAAACCCAAGATTATTCGATATGCTGTGGAGGTTTCTGGAAAACGAGATTTCCACACTGGGAAGTTAAACAGAGCCTTGGTTGAGGATGGAAATTGAAGGACGAAACTATGGTTCCAAGTTCTACATGACATCTAAAGAACTCCCAAGCCAATCAACTGTGTTATCTGTTCGGACAAGACCCTCCACACCTGGAAAAGACCTCAAATACTAGCAGGTCAACATGGAGATTACAGATACAGGCTATGTAGATAAACACACACATACATGAAGCATGTCCATAGGACATGCTCATTACAATGAGGTATTTGGATGCTGTCCCAGAGATGCAGGAGGTTAACAGCAATTTGCAGAGCCTTGAGTCAAAAAGGGCCCCAGGAGAGGGACAGCTTGAGAAAACTAGGCTGGTGATAGAGCTGGAAAGTACTGAGTCCATCTGCTTGGTGTCCCACTGGCCTTTGAAAAGCCTCCTGGCGGTGGCCCGCAGATCCTCACTTGGTGTCCAAGCGGTACACACAACCTCAAGCTCCCACCCCGAGAAACTACGTGGATACCACAGAAGCTGGTCCAAAGGACACTACAATGCCGTGGTGGCCCTGGAAAGGGCCTCTTTGCTTTGCCCCATAATCACATCAGAAACTGTGAGTGTCCACACTGGGGTTCCCACAGTGGGTCAGAACAAGCAGCAAAGAGAAGGAATGTTACACAGACCAAGCAGCTCTGTGGAAACCCAGCTGGTGCCTCATCCAGCTGCCTGGATGTCTGATCCGCCCATGGCTTCTGCTCTCCATGGACAGTGGAGGATGCAAACCGGCAGCCAGAGGCAAGGCTGGGCAGCCACCACTTCCACCTCCCCGGCACCGCTGTCCTAGGAGATGAGATGAGGATCGAGGGAGCTGGCAAAGGCTCATTTGTGAAACAGGTCATCTTTTGTTTTCTCCATTTAACAAATACAACTAGTGCTAACATCCCAGCCCCTCACATGTGAGTGGGCCACTTTTCCTTCCAGTTTATGGGTGCTTCAGAATGGGATCAGAAGCAGCCCTTGGATCCGAGACCCTGAACTCCCTCCTGCCTCAGGACAGTGGACTCAACTGTCCTCCAAGACATTTCTGTGTATGGGGACATTTGGGGGGGCAGGATCGGGAGATGGAACGAAATGTGGAGACATGAGCAAAGGGACAGCAAAGAGAGGGCCAAGGCATCTTCCTGAGTTCATCAGAGGTGACATTTATCTACCACCTATCACACTGGGTGTCTCACCTGATTTGGAAGGGGGTCGGGGGAGGACACTGGCCAAGGGACGTGCTCAAGGCAAGGCCCAACTTTCCTGGCTCACTGAGTCTACTTTGACTATTGGTCCCATTCCCAGCATTAGTTCACTCCATACCTCTTAACATTTCGAATCTCTATAAAGAGCGTCCTTAAAACTGGCTTTCCTGACCTCAGGGATGTCCCCTGCTTTCCTCTGGTTGCAATCTGGCACAAATACAGTTCTGTCTCAGTCCTCTGTGGCCACAGGTCTCCGTTCATGGCCCCTTCCATACTGAAAACTCTCCATACATTTCTTTTAAAACCTTTTATTCAATAATATATACTTTTAAAATAATAATATGTAACTGCCCGCCATGCCAGGTATTGCCCCCGCTCCCCCACTGTGGAGTCTGTGGTCGGCTAGTTAGCGTGGTTTGCTGGAAAAACAGGCGGCCACGGACGAGTCAGGGGGCGCAGGAGAGCAACAGTAACCAACAACCATTTTGCATACCCTTCACATTTCCCATGCTTTCTGGGTCGGGAGGAAGTCAACAGGAAGCCAAAGGCAAGTGAACCTTTTACATTCGGAAGTGAGGTTTGATATACGGTGGCGGCTGCCCTTCAGCTGGTCTAGTTCGTGCTCGCCAAACCTGCCACCGTTTTGTGTCTGCTCACGGAACGTGATCTCTCTACACACGTTAAGACGTTTGATTTGGTTCTTGTTCTGCTTATGGAAAAGTGGGAGGAACCGCAACAGACCTGGGGAAAGAGATGGGAGGAGGGGAAAGACGGCATTAATCAACCTGAGCGGAGTGAGGGGCAGGCCTCCCCTGTGTGGGGCTTCCTTCCCTTGAGGAGTGCTGGGGACAGAGTGCAAGCTGGCTTTCCTATGTCACTCGTGGAAAACCTTGGAAGAACTTGCTTTATGATTTCAGGTTACAATCAGTACCCTCTGCCTTCCTCCTCTGATCGTAACAGAGGCCGTCTTTAGCACGGCCTTGTGTGAGAGGAAGGGAAGCGCCCCGGACACACCACGTGTTGTGACCTGGTCTCCTACTTCTTTCCCGGGTCTAGAATACTGATGTAGAAGCTTTGAAGCCTCTTGACCATTCAGTGCGAGCCAAGTTCCAAGTTCAGCCGTCCAACTCTAGCTCCTCCTCAGACCTGTTCTGATTTATTGAGGACATCTTGGGACTAAGAGTCAGAGGACTGTATTTACTCAGAAAAAGGGCTGAGTCCACTAATAAGAAGCAATAAATAAGTGAGCTTAAAAAATATTTTTAACTCTCCCCTGGAAACAGCTAGCTGTCTGGCATGGCCTGCAAACCTCGTTTCTCCTTCCATGTCCAGCATGGGGAGTGGGTGGTGAGATGCTGGCAGCGGAATTCTAGAAGCAATGTCTCCCAGAACAGGGCTGCAACAGAAAGGACTATGCACCCGGCAAGCAAGCAGTCACACAAAAAATCATTTCATGAAAACCTTCTCTGGCTAAAGGAAGGGTGGCTCCACTGCCTGTTTGAGAAGCGTTGCGTGGCACATAAGGTTAAGAGGTGTATGACTATATTTGCCTTTAAGCACATCAGCTGATTTCTAAGCATCCAACTCCAGAGGAATCAGTGAGAAAGCACACTAATTAAAGACACAACCATCTGCCAGACAATAGCATGTGCCTGCATGTGTTGCAAGGAACAGTGTAGGGAGAGATTTTCACAAATGCAGAACACTAGGCCACAAGGTTAAAGTCATGCAATAAAACAAGGCAATCCCAAGAAGCAGGTGTCTACATGGTGCGGCTCAGAAGCAAGTACCAAGAAACAGAACAATCCCATGAGGACACCCCTCCAGTCCCACTTCTGCTAAAGCAAAGTCTTCACAGCAGAGTGTGACAAAGATCTTTTGCAGTTCATGGTTAATCCCTCCCCTCCCTCAAGAGACAGGCAGTACAAGTTAAGGTCCTCATAGCAATGGTGTCTTCCACTTGGGAAGGCTGGTTATTGTCAACATTTTTATTTATGAAAACAGGATTTAACATGGCATTTTTCTTCCCTCTAAGGGCAGCAGCACATAAATCATACATCAGTCATCCAGTGATACAGAGGTGGCCAACTGTGTCTGAAGTAGTCATTTGTAAAGGATCACAACCCAGGCAGTAGTGTTGCTTTTCTGCAAACAGAAGGAAATAGAAGGCTCCACGGTTCTTGAAGATTATCCAAGCTTTCCACTAGATGTCAAGATTTCTGTCCCAACCTCTTAGTCACCATTTACAGCAAGAAGAGCCAGCAAGTAAAAAACTGTTAATTTATTGATTCAAAGTTTTTTGTTTCTGTTTTCTTTAAAACAATCCCCAATACATGCAGTTCAGGGTTAAGTATCACATTTGTAGCACATTGTTGAGTCTCAACACAAAAATATGCATCACCTGTATAATCCCATCACATCTTTTCCAGCCTCTACAATACCTGGTTGGGGGTGTTTTCATTAACACATCCACATAGCTCAAAAGCATGTTGTTACTGGTTTTCTTGGCCAGATGTTTCCCTGCCACTTCTGCTCCCCCAATCCCTACCCGGGGGTTAGTTTTTTAAAGGCAGGACATCGTTCAGTCTCAATTTATTAAGCTTGCTGACAAACTTTGGCTTCTCGTGTGCTCATGTGGACCCTGCTTTTGCTTTCAGAAGGTTTACACTTAAATGATTGTGACTCTGATCAGTTATTATGCACTCTTGTAGGAGGGAAGTTTGATTTTTCCTGTGGGTGTTCTCACAGTATCACAGGTTTCTAAACTAATCGTTTAATCTGAACTGGCATTAAAGGAAACTGCTAACTGGGCTCTCTCAGATCTACTTCAATGCACATATAAAAATTCTTCCAGTTGTTGCTTGTGTCCGTCCCAAAGTAGTTCTGCTTCCATCCTTATCAACGCAGCACCTGGGAGAACCTAAGTCATTTCCCTGAGTAGGCACAAGACTGTGAGACCCACGGCACCAGCTCTCTCTGGGTCTCAGCACCTGACTTGAGAGCACCACCTTTCAGCCACTGGAACCAACCAGGGGGCAGTGTCCTCCCCAGAGCACATTCCAGAACATGAACTTGGTGCCCTCTAATTTCATCCCCTCAAGAAGTGCGTTTCCTGCTCAAGATCTACCTTTAGATCCTTTTTCTTATTGGTTCCTTTCCTTTTGACTTCCCCTCTCCCAGCCACTCTCTCCAAGGCCCCAAGGATTATAAATTCTCCGTCTCCTTTATCAGTCTGAGAACACTTTCCTCTCTGCAAGGGAACACATTTGCTTTAAACCTTGAGTACTGATGTGTTACAAAACGTCCAGGAGGCGGCTCAGCTGAGTGACTGGTGTTTAAGTGCCCCACAGAACCACCAGCACTTCCCTCAACAGTGAGAGCTTGGTCTGCATCATGCAATTAATGGCTTCTCCCTCCCAGCCACCTACCCTGCCTACAGGGACAAGACAGGAGCAAGGCCAGCTGAGAGCATCCAGGGGAGATTGAACTGCCACCAAACCACAGATGCAAATATCACTTAGCACTTCATTAGCTCCACTCACACCAAGGGATTTCTCAGCCAAAGCAAACCTTGCAGTTATGCTCACTAGTGGCCAAGAAACGATGCTCTAGCTGGATTTGGCATAGGAACCCTTTGTTGTCACCATACCAAGTCTATGTTCTTGAACATAGGCAGTACCTGAGATGATAGTGTAACACTACCCTGTTCCCCACATTTTTTGCTTTTCTTTAGGAAATAATTAAGTCCTTATCATAGGCACTTTTAACCTGTTATAAGGTAATGAAGCAAACAAATGACAATTACTGAGATGAGTTTAAGAAAGAATATGCTAACTGAAAAGGATATTGGGTGGGTAAATTTACCATAGTTTAAGTCTAAATATTAGACTTCCACTCCTACACACACACACCCCTTCTGGAATTCCCCAAGACCATCTCCTAACTCAGGTAAATACCCTAAAATTTTAAGGGTGCTAAGTCCACCTGGACACAAAATGGTTCTTGGAGACAGGCAAAGAGAAGGTCTGGACTGGATTCATTTCGGTTTGGGAAAGAACGGTCAGACCCAGAAGGGAGTGAGCACATCAAACCCAGTTAGTCTAAGGCATGAAGAGAGGTAAAAAGTGTAGGTGCTGGGAAAGTGAACCGTATGCTGAAAAAGGGAAGAACTCCTGTGTCAAAGCTGCAGTTACAGAGCCCAAGGACAGGCAGGTTAGCTGTGCTTGCACCAACTACATCCTGGTCAATGGAGAGAGGGGTTGAGGTAAATCACCTGACTCTTCTCCTTCAGATGCTTTGATTGCCTGGGGGGACCCAAAGGAAAGAAATGGTGGGGTTACCAATTCCCCAAGACCTTCCAATAGGCTACTCTTGCCCGGTCCAGACAGGCAACATAAAAAAAAAAAAGGGAAGGGCTAGGCATCACACAAGATATCCATGTAACAAAAACACTTGTACTCCCTTAATTAATATTTTAAAATAATAAAAAACAGAGGGAGCGGGTGATAAAGGAGATTGTAGGTAGGGGAGCAGGAAAGACACGCGGTGGCACATCTCCCTGATTATAACAAGTGGTTCCGAACTGCTCATAAGGGCACATTAGAAGGCTTTTGATAATCCAAAACGCTGAGTTTTGCTGCCCGACGTAACAGCCTGTTCAGCTGAGAGCTCACGTCTTGTTTTGATTTTCAGGTAGAATGAGTGTTTACACTACTATGCAGAATGTGCAATGCGGGCAGCACTGGCATGAGAACCTTGACTGAACGCATTTTGTAGCTTTGGGATCTCACTTTTTATTTTTTAATCTGTAAACTCAACTCTATGGTAAGAGAAGAGTTTTGTTTGCATTTTAAGTTCCCACAGACCAAACAACAAAAAATAGAATCTACGTTTAGAGATAGGACCTGCTACCAATACCAATAAGATTTTATTGGAATATGGAATGTAAACAGATGCTTCAAACAAACAATCTAACCTTATAAAAATGTATGGCATTATTAAATAGTTAATAAAGAAACTCTAAAGTGTGATGTGGTGGTAGACACTCCTAGCCCTAGCCTAGGTGTGTGAGGTCCCCAGAGCTGTGCACAGCTCTGCAGGTGGGGCGGGGGACTGCCAGCAAACCATGTTGGTGATAAGTCCCCAAAATAAAATCGGCCCTATTTTTTTTTTTTTTTAAACAAAATCTTTCTTTGCTAACGTGAAAGTTAGCACACTGCATCCAAAGCTTAACACTTGTGCCAGGAACTCCACTTCCTTCCCCAATCCCCTTCTACGTTCCTCTCCTCTCAGTTGCTGAGTTATCAGATGGCTCTGCCCACACAAATCCAGTACCTGCATGCGAGAAAGACTTATCTTTGCCATCACATAAATGTATCACATATCAGAGCTTAAGAACACATACTACCCTGATTACAATGGGAAATTGTTTCTTCCTCATGGGGATAAAAAGAGGGAAGGGGGGATGATACTTTTTTTTTTTAAACAAGTCTTTTCTGAATAAATTCTGATAGGATGTTTCCCCCTCCCTGACCTGCCTGAAGACTGACTTTCCAGCTGTAGCTATGGTTGTGAACAAAAGGTCTGTTTGAGACAGGAGCATTAAAATAGGTGCACACATAGGGAAGTGCTGGGAAATGGTGAGGTTTTCCTTACACCTTGACCCTAAAAAAAAAAAAAAAAAAAAGAAGGCTAAAAGAAAACAATAGCAACAAGCTTTTATGGTTAGGCAAATCAACAGAGGTTATAGTGAGCTCCAAGTTATGCACTTAGCATGGAATTTTCGATGAGACTGATAGACCTGTTCGTGGCATTGCAAGGTTTAAAATGATGCCTCCTGACATCAAAGAGGACTTGTGAAGGTGACTGCAGTTTGCTCCCAAATGAATACACTTAGAGGAAAACTGCAGGGATGAGGTACATTTCCTGGAGAGCTCATGTCATAAAAAAATACATAAAACATGAATTTGTAAAAGAGCTTAAAAAAAAATACTGTCACTGTTTTATTATCTCCTTTTCATAAATGAGGCTGGTGTGTCAGTATAAACTGCTGACCTTTTGCTAAAACTTGAGCCTGAATCTCACTGAAGGAAACCCAGACCACAATGGAATAGATAGGAAGTCAGACATTCAGAGCTTGTTGATCAAATGGGTTAACTCAACAGCGGTGCCCTGTTAAATAAGGTAAATGTACAACAACTCCGAGTCTCTCATCTCCCATGCATTCCAAAGGCAGAGCTCCTTCAGATCCTTAACTACGTGCATCAGCGTGCTGCCACGATGGCAGCTCCCTGTAGACTAGTACTGGGGAGTTTCTTTCTTTTCGACAGATTTTTAGGTCTTTACTCTTCTTTGCGTTTAGAAGGAATGATTAGAATTTCTTTTTATCACACTGTAGTTTTCCTTCAAGATTTGTGTCTGGTTGGTTGGTTTTATTGGCAAGCATCAATGCCGCATTACCCGTCGCTTTCCAGTCTTCATCGTGCTGCCGTGAGACCGCTGGGAAGCACAGCATTGTCTGCACAAGGCTGGGACTGCTCCTTCACTACAGGGTCTGTAAGAAAGCAGGATGACAGTCGGCCAGTCAGGGCTGGTGAGTGCCAGTCAGAACCCCATGGCAAAACCCAGCTCTTCCACCGTGAGACAGAGAGAGACAAGAATGACGGGCAAGCCTGGGTCAGGAGGGCAACAGACAGAGACAGAGAAGTCACAGAATTTAGGACATAGAAATACCAGACACTGAAAAATCATCGGGCAAGTTGTTCTTGTAGTCAGCCCTTAATACTTCCTCAGAGTACAAACTCAACTGCTGAAAGGCAAAGAAACCCTAATTTCCCACTGTTCAAAATTTCTACTAATTTTGTGTTCTTTTCTTTGAATACTAACATCATATCTAACCCCTAATTTCTTCAAAGCATGTGCAATAATAAGTACATGGAGGGAAAGGTGGATAAAAACAGCCATTAGAAGACCTAGTAATTTTAAGCAATAGTAGTTCAAAATTTTTTTAATTGAAGAATGACGTGTATTCAGAAAAGTAGACAGATCGTGAATGACATGTCATAAACATCAGTATTCTTTTTTCTTTTTTTTTTTTTTTGAGACAGAGTCTTGCTCTGTTGCCCGGGCTAGAGTGCTGTGGTGTCAGCCTAGCTCACAGCAACCTCAAACTCCACAGCTCAAGCAATCCTTCTGCCTCAGCCTCCCAAGTAGCTGGGACTACAGGCATGCACCACCATGCCTGGCTAATTATTTCTATATATTTTAGTTGTCCAGCTGATTTCTTTCTATTTTTAGTAGAGACGGGGTCTCACTCTTGCTCAGGCTGGTCTTGAACTCCTGACCTTGAGCGATCCTCCCGCCTCGGCCTCCCAGAGTGCTAGGATTACAGGCATGAGCCACCGCGCCTGGCCAACACCAGTATTCTTAATCTGATCTAACTTGAAGGGTAAAAATAGCTTTCTGTGCCAGAAACAGGAGAGAAGATATCTGAGTTGCACTTGGGCTGAGGTCTAGAAGGCTGAAGGGTAAAAATTTTTAAATTTGCTGTCTCCTTATGCTTATGGGCCATAGGTTCAAGAACACAGCAATATAGTCTTCAGGCCAAGAATTTAGTTAATCTCTAGGGAAAAAAAGGAGAAGAAACAAGAGCATATCGGCCAAGCGACAGGTAACTTTAAAGGTTGAAAGTTTTCATCTTCATTCAGAGAGTGAATTGAAACCAGTTGCTTAACCTCCCTGTTCCCCAGTCTCCTTCCGGACTGGACTCAAACATAGGATAACATGAGGCAGTGTACCTGAAACACAAGTTACCAGTGGGAAGAATAGCACGCGTGCAGAACAAGCAAGCACGTGAAATGACATACACGCACGCTCCTGAGTGAGGCACAAGAAGCCAACAGCTCAGCCAGGACTTCGGTGAGGGATCTCCACACCTGCTTCCCTTTCCTCAAATTCCTTTCACCCATCCATTTCCTTCTTTAGAAATATTCTATGGTTATCTTATTACTTTTTAACTAATTACTCGTTTTTTGAGGGCAGAAATAATCTTTGATTAGGTTTCCACACCACAAATGTACATATTTCAAAACAAATTTTAGACACTTGTGATCTATTAACTCAGGGTGACAGGGGGTGGTCAAACAGATGACCCAGGGGAGCTGAGGGAATAAGCAAACGCCTCTGGTGGTCAAGAAATCGAGAGGCAAAGCTGTTTCAATCGTCTACAACAAATAAGGCCAAATTCTAAGGATGAGCCAATGTAAATACCTAAAATTCTCTGGCCTCAAAGATAAAGGGTGGAGGACTCTTTCCTTCAATAACACACACCCCTGAAAACAGTCCCTGCAGACTCACAGAAGTATGGGTGCTCCATGGCCTCTTTGGCAGTCAATCTCTGTTGATGGTCGTATCGCAGAAGTTTGTCCAGAAGATCTAGAGCCTCGGGGCTGACAAGGTGTCTGTTCTCACTATGGATAAAGTTTTCCCAGCGTTTCCGTGAATGTCTGAGAAGAGAAGTGAAGGATTAGTATTCCGAGACTAAATTCAACAGAATCCTTATCTATTAGGGTTAAAGCCAAAAAAATCTTGGAATACTGCATTGATTACGAGCTTGTTAAATTTCATTGTTATTTTTTCATTCTTAACCCTCCTTAGTTAACAGTGCTCTGTGAGTAGATGAACAGAATTAGCTGAAACTTCTACATCTGATTTCAAATTTGTGAAACCTTTCTTAGATTACTCTTTATGGCCCAGGCTCTTAGGCAATTCTGGGTGAGGCATGGGGTGTAATTTTTATTGGTCAGCAGATGTATTTTGAGGACTGGCCCCAGAAACATGGAGGTTCCATAAAATACTTTTTGAAAACTGTCAGCATAACATTTACTTTTTAACACCACTGCATCGTACCTGAAAATTCAATGTGTTTTAAAATTTGCTATCTTATAGAAAATCCATTACAGAGAATGAGAATAATAAGTCTCTTATTCAAAGAAGTATTACAGTTTTCCAAGATTTACCATTAAAATTAAGCATAGCTATACCAGAAAGCTTTTTTCTCTAACATTATGATTTTGTTTTCCATTTTCTATTGATAAACGGGCTATTTCTCCAAGAAGTGAAATGATTAGAAGACACATGTAAACAAGGTGCAAATATCTCAAAATAAAATAACCATGGGAAAAAAAGGGTTTCCAATTTTGAAATGATTAAAAAAGGGAAAGAAAGTGATTTCGGCTAACCTTTCCACTTCTGAAATGGGGTAAGGTAAAGCCCTCTTTCTCTCTCTCTCCCTTACTTACTGTCCCAGGATATCGTTGAAGTGTGGATCTAGGTCTATGTGATACTTCTTCAGATACCCATACAGCTCATCTGTACCCAGAACCTTGGCAATGCGAACAAGCTGAAACACAAAACAAACTGACCAAATCACTGAGCACAGAACTCACTGCAAGCCCGTGAGGATGCTGTACCAGGGAATCGGAAGACTTCCACATCACTACATCTCCAAGGACCAGATACAAAGCTGAGTCTAGGGTGGGCAAGCAGACCCAAGGACATGAAATTCACATGAATGCAAACTTCCAAACTGTCTTTAAACTGATCATACAACTTATGATCATAATCTTCTAGAAGTTGATAAGTACGGAGGCATCATAATCTAATGACTAGAATCTAGTTTTGTAAGAAAGGGGGTGGACCTGACTTGTTCACAGATTCCCTTTGGAAGTCCAGCATAGATAGCCATTTTCTGTCACCCTGGGGACCTGATAACTAACACAAAATTTTGTGAAATTCTTTACCTTGAAGAAAAGCTAATATGCAAACACTGAGAGAGATTTAGTGGCTCAAGGACATTATCTAAGGATGTTATTTTCTTGGCATTCACCCCTAAATAAACAAGAACCGGATGGTGTTTGCTCACCTGGTCATAGTTGTCCTGTCCATGGAAGAAGGGTTCCTTTCGAAAGATCATGCTTGCTAACATACAGCCCAAACTCCACATGTCCAAGCTATAATCATACATCTGAGAAATAAGGACAACCAGTTAGCCAAGGGTGTTAGAAACTGATCTGAATTTCTGCCTTGCATTTCATCTTTGTATATATTTTAGAAATAAAGCTCCTTCCCTTCCATGAAAAGTGGCTGAGAAAAACTAAAATTAGCATTTTGGGGTGTAATAAATGTCTGGGTTTTGAACATATTCAAACTGACTAAATAAACAGCAAACCAGAAAAAGCCCTATAAGTATAAAAATAACCCAGAGGAGCTCTGTTAGCAAGCGTACCTGATAGTCCACAAGGAGCTCTGGTCCCTTGAAGTACCTTGAGGCTACACGAACATTGTACTCCTGAGCAGGATGATAGAACTCTGCCAGACCCCAATCTATCAGTCGTAGCTACAAACAGGACAGAAATAAAACATGTGAAAGGAGTGTTTCTAGATAGAACAAGGCCACATCACATTAGGTAACAAATATCTGGCCACAGAAAAAACGTGAGCAGGTGCACTGGTTTAAAAAATGACACTTTCAGCAATGCATTAAGAGGTCATTTGTAGAGCAGAGCACTCAGAACGTTTTTTTTTTTTAAATTTAAATTATCCTGGCTCATCACTCTCTCTAGATAAATAGAGCTCAGCCTTTTTTTTTTCTGCCGCCATATGACTTACATACGTAATGCATTCTCCCATCATTCACAGCTTTTTTATAAGTTCCAGGCATAAGTGAAAGGGTTGGGGACACATGCTCCGCTCCAGGAGTGAAGCACTGCTCTAGCCTTTCATTAATCCAATCCTAGCTGATCTATTTACTCACCAATCAGGGACAACCAGAGTTGGATATCAAAAATAGGAGAGACTCAAGTGTCCTTTCAAGGCCAGGCAGATTGGTCTGCGGGTCATTAAGAAATGAATTAGAAACCACCAGGTATAGTTTCTTTCTGAGGCCCTCCAGAAAACTATGACCAAAATAAAACAAACAACTACAGTCGGGGTCATCTGTCTACTTTCCTTGTGTACTATGCCGTGCAAAGTAGAAACCAACACTGGAGACTGGAGGAACAACTGTAACAAAAGTCACCAAAAATCCCCAGCATGGGTCTATAGAAACCATGTTGGTACTGGACAGCTTTCTGGTCTGCCCTAAGCCTTCTAATGAAGGCTTGTGGCTGCCTGGCTATAATGGTACCTTTTTCTGTTGGTGATCTATCATGACATTGTGAGGTTTCACATCCCTGTGCATGATTCCCTTGCTGTGGCAGTAATCCAGAGCCTATTAGGTAGAAAGCACAGAGAAAAGTAAGCAAACCCTCTACCACCCCCCAATGCAAGCATATTCTTATTATTTGTGACACTTGAATACAGTCTCCCAAGGGGCAGCTTACTGCCTGTAAATGAAAGAGAAAAAACATGCTTCAGAAGCCACCCTTAGTCTCTGTGCACACTGCAGCTGGCAGAAAGGGGGCTATGGAGGGAACACCAAAGGCTATGATGAAGGTTTCTTTAAAAAAGAGGAATGATAAACCAGATTTGGGAACCTCACTAGAGTTGTCTCTCATAGTGGTTCAACGGACATGCCAGAATCCATGTGGACACGAAGAATGATATTTAAATGTACCTTTTAACATGGCTTGTCTTTTACACAAGTTTCCCATGTGGGTTTTTTAGATTAAAAAGTGTTAGTGTTTTCCTTAAATACAATCCCCAAGCCAGTTTGCTTTTAAGAATTATATTATCACTCTAAGGGAGAAAATTGCTTCCTGTAAGATCACTGATATGTAGATAGGATTTTTACATGCATAAGTCAATGGTTTTAAGTAAATTTAGAGAGCTGTACAACCATCACCACAATCCAGTTTTAGAAGATTCCCGTCACCCTCCAAATTTTCCTTGAGTTTGTGTGCAATCAATCCCTACTTCTAACTACTCTCAACCCCCTCCCTGCCCTGCCCCCAACCACCCATCTGCTATTAGTTGCTACAGATTTGACTTCTACGGACATTCAGAAAATGAAATCATACATGTATAAGTACTCTACTTCTACCTTCCTTCACTCAGTATAATGTTTTTGAGATTCATCACAGTTCCTTTTTTCTTGCTAAGTGGTATTGCACTGTATGAATGTACTAGCTGACGGACATTTGGGTTGTTTCTACTTTTTGGCTATCATGACTAACGCTGTTATGTACATTCATATACAAGTTGTTCAGGGGACACATGCTTTCATTTTCTCTGGGGTTCACAGGGATAGAGGTGCTTGGTTA